TTATCGAAGTGGCCACCTCTTCGTTGTTCTGACACCGTCACCCCATGTGCGCGCCGCATACATTCCCCCGCGTGAGTCCGCGGGTACTGGTGTCTTTTGCAGGCAACGCACGCCCCGGCCGACGGCCGCCCCGCTCCGCGGAGCCCCGAGGGAGCAGCAACGAAAGGCCGCTTCTCTGGCGGTTCGAAGGCCTGGGCGCGATTGGGCGCGATTGGGCCCCCTGGAGACCGAAAGCTGCGAAAGGCCTCCGCTTTTTTGTTTGTGTTTGTGTTTGTTCTCGATGCGCTGGATCTCTGGGACCTCGCGCCCAGATCTTCGTACCGCCAGAGAGGCGTCGGGGAGGAAAAAACACATAAACATAAACTTTTGGCGGGTCCGAGAAAGCCGCGCGGAGCGTCAAAAATTAATATTTATGTGTTTGTCCTTCTTCGACGCCTCTCTGGCAGTTCGAAGATCCGGGCGCGAGGTTCTCCCAGAGATCCAGCGTGTTGAGCACAGCAAGAAAAAAGCGGATGCTTTTCGCAGCTTTCGGCCTCCAGGGGGACCTCGCCAGGCCCCGGGACCTTCCGGAAACGACTCAGGATGGGAAACGGGTCCTTGGGAATGGGTCGAGGCTTCTGGGCACCCCGCTTTGAAAACAAAAAGGCGTCGGACTTCTGGGTTACTAGGGGCGAAAGAAGGGGGGGAGGGCCGAAGAAACGTGCACCTGTCGTGCCTCTTTCGGGTCACAGGGCCCCCTGCAGGGCCCCTTTGGGGCACAAGAGGTGCCCCTTTCCTCATTCCCTCCATTCCTCGCCCCCATCATTACTCGACGCCCGAAAGATGGGGCCCTCTCTGACACCGCATCCGCCGCGCTCTCTGGGCGATGTCTCGAGCATGGGGCGGAAGGGCCCGCCCCACACCCTCCCGCTCCCCTGATGTCGGTGTCCGCCCGGCTCTGCCGCGGCTGTCTCCGCCCGACCTCTGCGGGAAAAAGATCCGCCCACCTTTCTCTGAAGCGGGAACACCCGCCCCGCGTTTTTGTTCGCGTCGTCTGGAGCGCAAGTCCCGACACTCTCACAGGTCGGAGAGTCCACCAAAGCACGGCCGCTCTGTGGAGCCAGGGCGCAGGAGGAGGAGGAGGAGGAGGAGGAGGAGGAGGAGGAGGAGGAGGAGGAGGAGAGGAGGGAGGGAGGGAGGAGGGGGAGGAGGGAGGAGGGAGGAGGAGGAGGGAGGAGGGAGGAGGGAGGAGGGAGGGGGAGGAGGGAGGAGGGAGGAGGGAGGAGGGAGGAGGGAGGAGGGAGGAGGGAGGAGGGAGGAGGGAGGAGGGAGGAGGGAGGGGGAGGAGGGAGGAGGGAGGAGGGAGGAGGGAGGAGGAGGAGGAGGAGGAGGAGGAGGAGAGGAGGAGGAGGAGGAGGAGGAGGAGGAGGAGGAGGAGGGTAGGAGGAGGGGAGGAGGAGGAGGAGGAGGAGGAGGAGGAGGAGGAGGAGGAGGAGGGGGAGGAGGAGGAGGAGGAGGAGGAGGAGGAGGAGGAGGAGGAGGAGGAGGAGGAGGGGGAGGAGGAGGAACAGAAGGAGGAGGGGGGAGGGAGGAGGAGGACGTGGCCCCGAGGCAAGGAGGGCGCCCCCGGGCGGCACCTGCGCCGCTCGAGGCCCCTCGACCTCCCGGGGCCCCGCCCCTCGGGAGGGCCCCGCCTCGGCACCCCCGACGCCGCCGCGCCCCCCCCCCCCGCGGGCGAGGCGCCGCGCCCGACCGGCGTCGAGCGCTGGCCGGAGCGTTCCGCGGGGAGCCAGCCAAACACAAACAAACACAAACAAACAAACGCCAAATCCCAGGATCCCCATATTGTTTTTTATGTTTCCTGGACTTTCGTCTTCCCCCCCCCTCCCCGCTTCCCATATGTTTGCCCAAATCTCTTCCGGGGAATCGACGATGAAAAAGCGTGCCTGTGTGCCTTTGTTCTCCCCTCCTGCCACATAGCGAATCCCAGGATCCTCTATATTTTTCAAGTATTCTCTGGACTTTCGTCTTCCCCCCCCCCCCACTTCCCACATTTGCCAACATCTCTTTCCTGTGTCTGCATGCTTCTTGCCTCCCCTCCTGCCACATAGCGAATCCCAGGATCCTCCACATTTTTTGACATTCTCTGGACTTTCGTCTTCCCCCCCAACTTCCCACGTTTGCCAAAATCTCTTTCCTGTGCCTGCATGCTTCTTGCCTCCCCTCCTGCCACATCGCGAATCCCAGGATCCTCCATATTTTTTGACATTCTCTGGACTTTCGTCTTCCCCCCCCACTTCCCACATTTGCCAAAATCTCTTTCCTGTGCCTGTGTGTTTTTTGCTTCCCCTCCTGCCACACAGCGAACCTGCCCAGCTCCTCCTGCTCTGCGCGGGGGTGGGCCTGCCGGGCCCCCTCCACCGGCGAGCGGTGCGAGAGGCGGGGGCTTTGGAGGGGCCCTGGGACACACAAATATACATACCCAGAGATAAAAGGAGTCCCCATATTTTCCCGTATCGTCTGGGTTTTTGTCCTCGCCCCCACCACTTCCCATATTGTCCCACATTTCCGGGGAAATCGACGATTCATTATGTCTGTGTGCTCCTTTCCCTCCTGGGGCTTATCCACGTCCGCCGCCCGGGAACCGACGCCCTGATGCCCCAGCGGGCGGTGGATGTGGACATGTCTTGCCCCCTCGGGGGCCAGGGCCCTGACTCCGGATCCGCCCTACTCTGGGGAAATTCGTAGGTAGGGCTGGGAAAGTTCCGCCTTGCTTTTCAAGCCCCGCTGATGCCAATTGCCGCCCTGCTTCTCTGTGGCCGTTTCCGCCCTGCTTCTGTGGAGTTCCGCCCTATTTTATGTTGGGCGCAGAAATTTCCGCCCCACTTTTTCGGCTTCTTGTAGGTGGATTTCCGATGCAATTTTAGGTGGGCAAAAAAAAAGTAGGGCGGATCTGGAGTCAGGGATGTCTTGCCCCCTCGGGGGCCCGAGTATGTCCACATCCACCGCTGCAGAGTGCCCCCGGGCTGCCCAGGAGGCCCCACGACCGATCTCGTGACAGGTGGGCTCCGTCGCCTCCCGGGCGAAGCGGACCGGCGGGCCCGCCAGCTGGCAATTCTTTCCCGCACGCACAGACACAGGTACACACACGGGCACACGCGCCCAGACATCTGGCTGCTTCATGTTTTTCGGTGCGTTGGCCCTGGTGGTCTGGACCGCTTCCCCAACGCCGGTTCTTCAAGGGCTCCCAATGTCGCGCTTCGCGCTCTCGCGCCGCCTCCCAGGGGAGAAGAGGAGGATGAGGAGGACTCGGAGCCGAGCCGCGAGGCGCGAAGCTCGAACAACTTCGCGCCCTCGAGGGCGCCCCTGCTTCTTCGCCTCGAGGTCGCCCTGCTTCTGGCGGCCCCGAGGCCCGGCTGGAGTGCCCCCCGGAGGCCGAGAAGGGCTCCAGAGCTCGCCGCGCCCATTTTTGTGTCGGAGAGGAGGAGGAGGAGGAGGAGGAGGAGGAGGAGGAGGAGGAGGAGGAGGAGGAGGAGGAGGAGGAGGGGAGGAGGAGGGAGGAGGAGGAGGAGGAGGAGGATGAGGAGGAGGAGGAGGAGGAAGGGGGAGGAGGAGGAGGAGGAGGAGGGAGGAGGAGGAGGAGGAGGAGGAGGAGGAGGAGGAGGCGAGGAGGAGGAGGAGGAGGAGGAGGAGGAGGAGGAGGGGGGGAAGAAGTCGGAGCTCTGGGTACGCGCACGCGCACCAATCTGGATTCATTATCACGGGATCCCCTGCGGGGATGCGCCCTCTCGGGATTGCCGCACGGGGGACTGCTTCCCACGGGCCCTCCAGCCGGGGGCGGCTTCTTCTCGTGGGGCATCCCGCTGGGATCCCTTCTCCTGGGACGTCCTGGAGGGCCTCTGGAGGCAGCGTCCTTTGCTGCCCGCTTGGTTGTTTCAGCGGTGTTCGCTTCCTCGCCCGCTTCGTTTTCGGAGATCCAAGGCGGTCCAAGAAGCCCCCAAGGCCAGGTCAAGACGGCCCACAAAGGCCCCCAAAGGACCCCAGGACCCAAGATGACCCGACAGAGCCCCAGAAGCCCCGACAAGAATCAGGGGCGCGCAAACATGGATTAGTGATCCATGGATCTGGCGCGCGGTCGCCGAATCCATGGATCGGGGGAAGTACCCTCCCCAAAATGCGGCCGGTGCCGCCTCGCTCGGCGGCGGAGATCCAAGATTTCCCATGGAACCGGGACCCGTCGCTAATCCACGCCCCCTTGATCCATGTTTGCGATCGCCGGAAAGAAGCCCCAACAACTCCAATCAGCCCACGACAGCCCTTAGTCAGGAGGGGAACAAAAACACACAGATACAATTCATTGTCGATCATCTGGAAAATACAGGAGAATATGGCAAGTGGGGCGGGGAGACAAAAAACCCAGAAAACATGGGAAAATATTGAACATCCTGGGAGTTGTGTGTATTTATTTATGTATACCAGGGCCCCTTTATCAGACAGCCTCGAGGGGCCCCTCCCCTCGGCGTCTCCCCAGTGGCTCGACGGCTCGGGCAACGCGCGGTCCACCAGCAGCGCCGCGCGGAGGGACCAGAGGTGGCTCCGACGGAGGCGTCTTCGAGCAGCCAGGGCCGGCCCTCCCGCCCAGGCGAGCCCAGAACCGAGTCGACGAGTCGGAGCGGCGGCCGAAAGAGATCGGATCGGCGGACATCGGCAGCCGAGCCGGGAAACGCCGCATCGGCGGGAATCGGCTGGCTGGTAACTGGGCCTCCAACAAGAAAAACTGGAGCCCACATCGGAGTCCGAAGTCGGATCGCATCGGAATCGGAAGCCATCGAAATCGCACCGAATCGAATCGGAGGAATCGAGACTCGCCGTCGCCCGGACGTCCATTTCCCATGCATTTGTCGGTTTCGTGCGTGCTTTTTTTTGCTCGTTGGTCGAGGATGGTCCTCGATGGTTCTCGCCGAGAAGAAAATGCACACGTCCAAGCGATGCCAGGACGACCCCTGCTCCCAGCAGCCCCTCCAGCTCTCGATCGTGAAGTGCTCGACACTCCACCTGAATGTCACCAGGAGCTCGGCCTCCAGGGTCCTCAGCTCGTCCTCGGCTCGACGCCGCGGCGGAGGAGGAGGAGGAGGAGGAGGAGGAGGAGGAGGAGGAGGAGGAGGAGGAGGGGGAGGAGGAGGAGGGAGGAGGAGGGGGAGGGGGAGGATGAGGAGGAGCAGGAGGAGGAGACGAGGAGGAGGAGGAGGAGGAGGAGGAGGAGGAGGAGGAGGAGGAAAAGGAGGAGGAAAAGGAGGAGGAGGAGCAGAAGGAGGAGGGGGGGGCACCCGACCCTGCGGCCCCACGGCCCGCCTCCTCCCTCCGTGTTCTTCTGCTGCGCCGTGCGACCGCGCTCCCAAATCTCCCAGGAAGCTTCGCCCCCCCCCTCCCTCGGAGGCGACGGCAGGGGCGAACAGCCCAGGGCGGAGCCAATACACGTACCCAGGGGCGCCGATGGTCCATGTCTTCAGCGAGGCCCCCTGTCGTCAAGCTCTTGCCGGCGCTTGACGCCTGGGCGCTTCTCGGACGCTCCGCCAAAATCTGCGAGAACCTGATGGCGTCTGGGAGACTGCGGGAGAATCTGCAAGAATCTGCAAGAAGATGCCAAAGACCCTGGCGGGATACGTATGTGAAGGGGCCCAGGGACACACAAATGAATACACACAAATAAAAATATCCCCCATGTTTTCCGATGTTTTCTGGGTTTTTGTCTTCCCCCCCACTTCCCATATTTTCCCATGTTTTCCTGGGGGTCGACGATTACTTGTGTCTGTGTGTTTCTTTCCCTCCTGAGTACAGTGCCCGCCCCTGGGCCACTCGCCCCCCTTATCGTCGCCGCCAGCTCTCTCGCGCCGCGCGGTGCAGAGAGGCACGTGGCCCCGGCGCAGCCTCCGCGGCAGGCCGCCGTGCACCAGCTCGAATCCATTTGAGGGATGGCCTGGATCTCCCAGCAGGGGGAGGCGGAGGACAAGGAGGAGGAGGAGGAGGAGGAGGAGGAGGAGGGGGAGGAGGAGGAGGGGGAGGAGGGGGAGGAGGAGGAGGAAGACGAGGGGGAGGGGGAGGGGAGGAGGAGGAGGAGGAGGAGGAGGAGGAGTGGAGTGGAGTGGAGTGGCAAACCCAAAGGCGAACGAGTGATCCCGCCGCCCTGGGCCGTCCGCGCACCGCGGACGCTGCGGCGCGCTCACAGGCGCGGCGCTGGGCGGGGGGCCCCACCGACAGGGGGACGTGGTGAGTGGCCAACCCCCCGCCCACCCGACCGCGAGGGCTTACGCCTCGCAAGGCGGCCTCGCGGGCCTGCTCCCCCTTAGGAGCTCTCCGCAAAATGCGGGCTGTGTCCTCCGCGAAGCCCACGATGCTGGCTGCAGCGGCCCCTCCCCCAGGTATGCCCCGTAGGGCTCCCACCAGGGTATGGGGCCTGCTCCCCATTAGGAGCTCTCAGCCCGAGGCTGGCTGTCTGTCCCCTCCGCTGAGCCCTGCCCGCGCCATCTCGGCCTCCAGGACGGCGAGCTCCCGCTCCGCCGCGGCGAGGTCGCGCTCGCGCTGAAGCCGCTCGGCCGTCGCCCCCGCCTTGAGGTGGTGCTGGCGGACCGCGGCCGCCGCCGCCGCAGCCGCCAGGTCGAGGGGCGGTTTCTGCCGAGCACGGGCCAAGGGGGCTGCCTTCGCGGGGCGGGGTGCCAGCTCGGCCTCCACGGCGGCGAGCTGCGTCTCCGCCGCTGCGAGGGCGTGCGCCGCCGCCGCCACGTCCGCCGTCGCCGCCGTGGCGAGGAGCCGCACGGGCGCCGCGCTGCCCTGCAAGCCCGCCTCGGCGTCCCCTGGGCGGGCAGTCATCCCCCGAAGGGGCCCTGGATCAGCGCTCTCGGCGCCAGCGGCCATTGGCACTGCAGCAGTGCCTTCTCCGCGCTCCAGACAATCGCTCTCCCCGCATGCAGGCTCGGGATCTCGAACAGCGCCGCGAGGATCGCGGAGGCCGAACTCGTCGCCCTCCGCCGCCGCGTGCGCTTCCCTCTCGGCTGTTGCTGCGACCTCCGCCGCGGGCGCGGTGGGCTCGCCCCCGCCAGCTGCGGCCGGTGCACCACCGCCGCCGCACTGCAAGGCCTCCAGCGCCGACACGAGGGCCGCGCCGAAGCGGGAGGTCGCTGAGCCACGGTGACTGGCGACCTCCGCGAAGGCGCCGAGGAGGCGCGCGGCGGCCCGGGCGTCCGCCCTCCGGTATTGGGCGCGCCGCCCTGCTGCCGTGCGGTTCGGCCGCCGGCGCGGCGTCGCCTCCGCAGGCGCCGCCATCCCGGCCGCTGGGGAAGAGGAGGAGGCGGAGGCGGAGCGGGGGGCCCCGTGGCGCGGGCTCGGCGGGGCGAGCGGGAGGCTCGGGCGAGCTGGCGCTAGGAGGAGGAGGAGGAGGAGGAGGAGGAGGAGGAGGAGGAGGAGGAGGAGGAGGAGGAGGAGAAGGATGAGGAGGAAAAGGAAGAAGAGGAGGAGGAGGAGGAGGAGGAAGAGGAAGGGGAGGAGAGGGAGAGGGGGAGGAGCCGGTGCAGTGTGAGCCCAATTTTCATCAACGGGTTTGAGAGAAAACCTCGTTCCAAGCTCCCGCTTCGTAAGCCCCTACAGAGACTCATTTCCACTCAGGGAACTGCCACGTTGGGGGACAACCGTTTGAAAATCCTGCAGCGCGCCAGAAAGCCGTTCTCAAGGCTTCAACGCCGCGAATCAATCTGACTCTTGCGAGTTGACGGTCCTGAATCGTGCCAGAACGCCATTTCTGGGAACTCAGCACAACGAATCACCGTAACTGTTGCGCCCTCACAATCCTGAATCGTTCCAGAACCTCTTTTCTGGTGCAGTAACCAAGACAAGCGGTAAAACTCTTGCAACGTTTGAACCGAAATCTGCTCGGCGTCCAAGCGAGTCAGTATGTGGAGGAAAAAACGCCCTCGATGCGTTGAGCTCGTGCATTTTTTTTAGACGAGTGCGCGCGGCGCTAAGGCGAGAGCCACATATTGAAAAGGTACCGCACTCCATTTGTGAAGCGCTTGCGTTTTTTTTTTTTAACGCCAAGGCGAGAACCACATTTTAAGAACGACATGCCCAGAATTCATGAAACTGTTGCAAGGCTTAGTACATTTCAAAATGAAGAACGAATGTGCGCGGCGCTACGAGGAGAGCCACACTTTGAAAACCACCAGCCCTCAATCAACGATTTCTGGATAACGTTTCACACGAGTTAGCGCAACGCTACGGCGAGAGCCACAATTTGAAAAAGAGCCGCCCTCCATCCGTGAACTTGTTGCGTTTTTTGCAAGCGAACGCGCGCGGCGCTGAGGCGAGAACCACCTTTTGAAAACCACCAGCCCTGAATCAACGATTTTCTGTATACTTGTCAGAAAAAATTGCGCGGCGCAAAAGCGAGAAACACATTGTGATAACGACCCGCGAACAAGACCCACCCTGAACCCGTGAAACCCTTGCAATTTTGGCAGTGGAACGTGCGCGGCGCCGAGGCGAGAGACACGAGCCACATGTTAGAAGCGATCCGCCCTCCATCTGCGAAGCTCTTGACAATACCTCAACTTCTGGATCGGATCATGCATGGCCAAGATCTCAAGCGAGACGCCCGGCCTGCCTTGCCCACTGGACTGCGGCAGGGGAATTATTCATGATGAAGATGATCGGGAGAAAGGAAGAGCATGGGGAGGAGGGAAGATAGAACAAAAGAGGAGAGAGGAGAGAGAGGAGGGAGGAGCACACAAGGAGGAACAAGAGGAGGAGCTGGTAGAGGAGAAAAAAGAGGAAACGGAAGAGGAGGAGGAGGAGGAGGAGGAGGAGGAGGAGGGGATACCATTAGTGTACGTAAGCGCCGTTGTTGGCGTTAGTGCGGGTGTCGATGCAGCGTCGGCGCTAGCATCGGCGCTTTCGCCCGTGTAGGCGCAGGCACTGCTGCTGGCGCAGGCATGCTCGCGGGCATTAATAGTGGTCCCGGAGCTGCGTCGGCGATGTGCCAGCGTCGTTGACGCGCGAGGGCCAGTGCCGCACGCGGCATTCTCTGAGCTGGCGCCGGTGCGTCGGTGCTGGCGTCGATGCTAACGCTGTCAGTGTAGGGGCCAGCTCAGGCACTGCCGTCGGTGCAGGCGTCTGTGCTGACGTCGGTGCTGCGCCGGCGCTAGCGTCAGCGCTGGCGCTGGTGCTGGCGTCGGCGCTGGCGCTCGAGCCGCGCAGACACCGCGCGGCGCTGGCGTCGATGCTGCCGCCGAGGGCGCCATCGTTGGTGCAGGCGCTGGCGCAGGAGCGGGGGCTGCCGCTCAGAACCCCGGAGAACGCGGCAAGGCCCCTGCAGTGGTCTGGGCGCCCGAGGTCTCTGGACGGGGAGGAAGAAGAAGAAGAGGAATAATAATAAGAAGAAGAAGAAAATAAACATAATAATAATAAGAATAATGATAATAAGAATAAGAATAATAATAATAATAATAAATAATAATAATAAATAATAATAATAATAATAATAATACTAATAATAATAATAATAACAATAATACTAATAATAATAATAATAATAATAATATTAATAATGATAATAATAATAAAAATAATGATAATAATAATAATAATAATAATAATAATAATAATAATAATAATAATAATATTAACGACTCCGAAGGAAGGCAAGTGATTTCACCACAGCATCAACGAAAAACGCATTAGGGGAGGGTGGGCGTGCCTCGCCTCCCCTCCTTGGCCCTGCTGCGGGCAAGCAGGGCCGGCGTGCGGTCCTCGCAGGAGGAGCGGGGCCACCTGACGTGCAGGAGCGGCAGTGCAGCCCCAGCGCGCCCACACGGACCCCGGCCCCAGCGTGGCCCCGGTGACGTGGCTCCTCCTCGCGAGGCCTCCGCCCCGACCGCTCTCGCTCGGGCTGGCCGGGCCCAGACAGGCGGGGACGGGGGCCGCGCAGCTTCAGCTCGCCCTCGAGGGTGAGCGGCAGCGTGCCCGTGCGCTGCTCCCCTGCCTGACAGCACGCCCAGGGCGCCACCCGGCCTTGGCCAGTGTGGCCCAGGCAGGGCCAGGCGCCTCGACGTGCAGGCAAGAGCTGGTGACATGGAGACGCCCAGGCCAGGCACTCTATAGGTGGATGCTTAGCAAGCACTCGGAAGCGGGGTGGCACTCGGAAGCGGGGTGGCCCTCGGCAGTCGGTAAGCATTGCTTACCCGCTGGGATGTGCTCGGAAGCGGGGTGGCCCTGGGCCCGGGCGGAAGCACCCCGAGGACTTGCCGGCGACCTCGGGCGTGGTGCAGGCCACACGCCTTCCGCGGCGGGCACGCCCCGCTCGTCCTCGGGCGCGCACGCAGCGGAGCGCCCGCGCAGAGGGGAGGCGGAGGAGGAGGAGGAGGAGGAGGAGGAGGAGGAGGAGGAGGAGGAGGAGGAGCAGCCCCCCGTCGCCCCGGTCGGAGCTGGCCCTGCCGCCCTGTGGGCACGACGCCCTCTTTCGCCCCACCGGCGGCGCCGCCGGAGGTCGGCACGGTCCCGCGGGAGCGGCCTGCCTCGGCAGCGGCGCCAGCAGACTGGTCGGGGACACACACACACACACACACACGCACACACACACACACGCACACACACACACAACATACTTACTGGCACCATGCGCCCCCCTCGAACGCACACGCCGGAACCGAACGTGCAGTCGAAACATCTTGTGTACGGTATATCGAACATCGCAAACCCGAAGCCCGAAACCCTAAACCCTACATCCCGAGCGTACAGCCTAAGCGTCTTGTATGGTACAACGGATCTCGTTACTTTGGAGTCCCGAAACGGTGCGGTGACAGACCGTGCGGTGACCTCGGAATCCCAAGAGACCTCACCGCACGGTCCGTCACCGCACGGTCTTGGGACCCCGGAGGCCCCTGTCGCCCGAGACGTCCTCGGAGAGGGACTCGAGTCCCAAAACCGTGCGGTGACCCCGAATCCCCACCGACTCACCGCACGGTGTGCTCACCACCCCGTTTGGGGGCCCCCGGGTTGCCCGGGCGGCGTGGCCAGACAGCGCCCGCCACCGGAGCGGGTGCTGGCAGACCTGGGAGCGTGCGCGCCGCTCCCGTGCGGGGGCCGACGCACACGTGGCACATCATATACGCATGGCTGGGCGGTGCCGATGGCCCTGGCACGACGTGCCGAACTGAAGGGGCCCTGGGACACACAGATCAATCGACAGAAATCACAGGATTGCCCATACTTTGACATATGTTCTGGGTTTTTGTCTTCCCCCCCGCTTCCCATATTTTCAATATTTTTTCGGAGATCGACGATTCATTGTGTCTGTGTGTGTTAAAAAAACAAGAGATCTCATACTTTGACATATTTTCTGGGTTTTTGTCTTGCCCCCCACTTCCCATAGTTTCCCATATTTTCTGGGAGATCGACGATAAATTGTGTCTGTGTGTGAGTGTGTGTGTGTGTGCGTGTGCGTGTGCGTGTGCGTGTGTGCGTGTGTGTGTGTGTGTGCGTGTGTGCGTGCGTGTGTGTGTGTGTGTGTGTGCGTGTGTGTGTGTGTGTGTGTGCGTGTGTGTGTGTTTTCCCATCCTGCAGAACATGCGACACAGCCGGACCTAGGCCAGAGTGGCATGCTTCGAGAGCGTGAGGCCCTCCGCCGGCCAACCCAAACAGAACATCCAAGGGCCCCGCCCCCGGGGATGCACGAGGGCATCCAACAACCACGGAGGACACCACGGGTACTCCAGACTTCGTAACAAAGGGAGGGGGGCCTCGTTTCGGGGGGGGGTCTCTTCCAGGCCATCTTGGAGGGCCTGGGGGGTCTGGGGACGCTGTTTTGGAGGGTTCTCTCCAACGGGGGAGGTCTGAAATGGCTTGTCCTGGAGGGTCCAGACCCCCTCCCTTTTATGACGAAATCTGGAGTAGCCTCCCCGCACATGACCTCGATCGCAGGCCTCGGTCCGACGGCAGGCTGCGATCCTCGCCCAGCCCGCCGCGGAGCCCTGGAGGGGGGGAGCCGAGGCCGACCAGGAGATCTGGGCATCTCTGCCCCGCGGGCGCCCAAGTCATGCCCGCGCAGCTTCCTGGGATGCAGCCGAAGGGGTCCCCCTCCAGCGGCGTGCCCCCGACGAGCGGCCGCAGGATCGCACAGCCCTGCCACCAACGCGCAGCCCCAGCCTGCCCTCGGCCCGCACGGTCCGAGCAGGCAACGTGGACCACGGTTGGCGGAGCTAGCTGGGTGGATGGGAGAGCCCACCGGGTTGTGCTCTTGAGCAGATGCAGCTGCGGAGGGAGGAGCCGACGGGACCGTTCGAGGACCCCATCTCTGCAGCCTCCCCCCTTGTTCGTTCCTTGATTAAGGGCATGCTGTCATCTCATCGCCATCATCTTCATCATCTGAATTACCACCGCCACCACCATCCTCATTATCGTCAACACCATCGTCACCAGCGGCATCGCCATCTCTATCACCATCACCATCACCATCACCATCACCATCACCATCACCATCACCATCACCATCACCATCACCACCACCACCACCACCACCACCACCACCACCACCATCACCATCACCATCACCACCACCACCACCACCACCACCACCACCACCACCACCACCATCACCATCACCATTACCACCACCACCATCATCATCACCACCACCATCACAATCATCGTCGTCATCATCACCACGGCCATCACTGCCAAGAACCTCTTCATCGACATCGCCACCGTTACCGACGCCATCGGCATCATTAGCACCATACTCGGGGTCCTCGGTGGCGTCGGGGATGCTGTAACCGAGGCTCCTGCAGCTGGCGGAGGGCGGAGGGCGCAATCCAATAAAAAACATGGCCGGGAGACACAAAGCAGTCTTCGCCTCTCTCCTGTGTCCCCCCACCGCCCTCCCCCCGGGGGTTGCGGACACAGCAGCACAATGACAGACTCGGCGACGCAGCGGTGAGGCCACTGAGCTACCACCAGTGCCGTGCGCATGAAATGAGCTGGAGCGCCCGGTCGCATACAGTCAACAACCCCAATAAGGACGCGCGACTTTGCTCAGGGTACCCTTGCGTCCTTGCTCTTCCTTGCTCTTGCGTCCTTGAGGTTTTCGTCGTCCGCCGCCCCAAAAATCCCAACTTCGGCTTCCAAGGGTCTTGCGTCCTTACTGCGCGTCCTTCTTAGGGTTTTTGACTATAGACAAGCTGTCCTGCGAGAGGTGTCCAATCGAACAGCAGTTGCCTCTGGGGGCGTTTGCGAGTCGGCACTGTGCGACCCCGCGGGGAGCGCGCAGAGGCGGCGGTGGCCTCCGCGGGGCCCCTCGCCCGGCAGGGCCAGCGGGCCAGCCAGCGCGGCCAGGTGGCCCGCCTCCCCTCGGCCTCCCCCCCCCCATCCAGGACATCGGGCATGTGTGGAGCAACTGGGAGAAGGGCGACCTGGCGCACACGCGCGTCTGACGGGGCCCCGGCCCGCCCGCGAGTAGCGGACTGCGCTCAGCCTGGCGCGGCCGTGCCGCTGGGCCGCTGGGCAGCCCAGCGGGCCCGCCCCCCCTGCTGCTTTCCAGCGCCTGGCCTCCGCGTGCCCTGGAGGGCAGCGAGCCGCCTGGGCCCTGGTTCCCCCATCGGTCTCCCCCTCCCTCCCCCTCCCTCCCTCCCTCCTCCTCCCTCCCTCCCTCCCCCTCCCTCCCCTTCCTCCCCCTCCCTCCGCTCTCCCTCCCCTCCCCCTCCCTCCGCTCTCTCCTCCCTCCCTCCCCTCCCTCTCCCCCTCTCGCCAGCGGAGGCCACCCGGTATTTGGGGAGCTGCCAATATGGACCCTCCGCAGGAGGGCCACGCGGCAGCAGCCTCCCCGTCGGCAGCACTTGGGCGTGGCACCCCTTCACTGCGCCCTTGCGCAGTGACGGCGCACGATCGATGCAACGCCAGGCTGAGTCCCAAAAAGCCCCTTCAGCCAAAGCGTGTGCTCCGAATCCTGCTCCTCCTGCTCGTCCTGCGGCTCCTCATGCTTCTCCAGCGCCTGCTCCCTTGCTCCTCTATCGTGCACGGCTCCTCTCCCTCCCCTCCCCTTCCCCTCCTCGCCTCCCTTCCTCTCCTCTCCCCTCCCCCCCCATCCCCCCTCCCTTCCTCGTCCACCGTGCCTCATCGCCTCCCCCTCCCCTTCCCCCTCCCTCCTCGCCCCCCCGCCCCCCGCTCCCTCCTCGCTCCCCCCTCGCTCCCCCCCCCCGTCCTCCTCTCTCCCCCTCCCTTCCTCGTCCCCCGTCCGTCGTCGCCTCCCCTCCCCTGCCCCCCCCTCCCTCCTCGCCCCCCCCCCACCTCCTTGAAACACTGGCGCGGGCGCGGGGGGCGAGGCCGCCTGAGGTACTCGACCATGCGCTGCGCGTGCGCGACCAGGGAGGCGTTGGGCACGAAGGTGGTCGACGAGTCCGCCTGGGCGAGCGAGCGAGCGAGCGGGCGAAGGAGGAGGAGGAATGCGAGGTGGAGGAGGAGGAGGAGGAGGAGGAGGAGGAGGAGGAGGAGGAGGAGGAGGAGGAAAAGGAGGAGGAGGGGGAGGGGGAGGGGGAGGAGGAGGAGGAGGAGGAGGAGGAGGAGGAGGAGGAGGAAAAGGAGGAGGAGGGGGAGGGGGAGGGGGAGGAGGAGGAGGAGGAGGAGGAGGAGGAGGAGGAGGAGGAGGAGGAGGAGGAGGAGGCATGGCATGGCATGGCATGGCATGGCATGGCATGTCATGGCAGGCGCTCGGGGGTCGTAGCTCCTCTACGCTTGTGAGCTAGTGAGACCCCTGCGGAAACGTGAGAACTGGCCCTCTCTTCGGGACTGGGCCAGCCTGGCGACTCACCTAGCGAGCCGTTGCACGCAGGGTGAGTGGCCATCGGCGGTGAGGCACGGGCCTCGCAGAGGGGCTCGAGCTGGCCACCACAACCCCCTCCTCCACGCCGTCATGGGGAGGCCCGAGCACCGTTCCCAATGTCGGCAGGGGGGGTGGGCAGAGCAGCCCGTTCAAACCCAAAAACGGCGTGGGGAAGCACCCAGGCCTCCCAGGGCGTGGGGCCTCCCAAGGGGCGGCTCCCCCTTGCAGCAAAGAAGAGAAAAAGAGAGAGAGGCGGCGGCTCGCATCTTCTGGCCGAACTGCCAGCGCTCGAACCAGAAACCTCCTGCCCTGCCCAGCCCTTCGGCCTAGGCTCGGCGCGAGAATAACACGTCAATTTTTTCTTGGAACCAAGCGAGCGCCGGACACTTTACGACAAATCACAGGACCGGGCACTTTCGTCCGTAAAATGTCCGGCCTTGGTGCGCGGCCGCCTCGAACCGGACGCTGACCAGAGTGTGGTTAGCCACGCCTGGATGACCCGCACGGGCCCCAGAGCCGCCTCTGACCTGAGCTGGAAAAAAAACAGCTTCCCAAGGCATTACGACGGGACAATATGCAACTGATCAGTACGGGTCGTAGTAAGCACACGAGAGGAAGAGACAGGCAGAGACAGCAATCTAAGCAGGGGAGCTCTGGCAGCTTCAGGTGGGATTACAGAATAGCTGCGGCACCGCCTAGATGCGTGCTGTCGCCTCTGAACTCACTTCCTCCCTCGCATACCATACCTCACGAAGGTCCTATCTCTGCGGCACCTGCCCTAGAGAGATCAACCTCGTGGCTCGTAGCATCTCATTGCCCATCAAGTGTCGGCCAACCATGACGCATATCAAGTGTCGAAGTGCTCTATGTAGGCTGGGTGCGGTTCACTCGGGCGTGGGCTCTCCGTCGTATGCGAAGCAAGAAGAACGAAGACTGAATCTCTGTTGTTGAGCCGAGACTGCAAATAGATGCTGCAAGGGTAATTGAATAGTCATCACACTGTGTGCAGGAGTCGGGCGTCACATGTCACCGCCATGCTGCCTGGGCCCCGTCGGGTGCTCTTGTGGTCCTTGTTCTGGTGCCTGTAAGTCGGTACCTTGTCCTGCTGAACTGTGGCCTGGGGTCCTAGGAGGTCCCTGTACGAGTCCCTGGCGGAGGTCCACAAGGTGCTTGCGTCGTTCGCGACACTTCACTGCAAGGGCGTACATCTCTTCGAATTTGCTACTGATTTTTCTCTGTTCCCTAAGTTTCTGGAATTTCTTCGGGTCAAGACTGATCGCATGAGCAAGCTTTTCCCATCTCACTCTCTGGCGGCCAGCGTGCAAGGTACGACGAGAGAGGAGGCAACAACGCACCGCTGGCTACCGCCGCGGGCGCCTCTCGACCTGGTCGCCCAGCAGCGTCGCCTAGTATCGGCAAGTTGTGTCGGGGTACTGGCGCCGTCGTTACTGCCTGCGGCGCAAGGACGATTCGACCGCTCTCTCCAGGGCGCTCTTGGGAGCTGAGGCCTTCCCCTTGGTCGCGTCGAGGCCCAGCAGGCTGACCGTCATCGCCTCCTTGAGCTTGAGCACTGAGAAGTTTCGCACCCATGCTAGCTCGGGCTCCCCGAGCTCCTTCCCCTGTAGGATGGCGCCCAGCACTGGGGTCGGGTTCAGGCTGTACTGGAGCTTGCCGTACCTGTCCCCCTCGTCCTCGTCCTCCCTCTTGTACGTCTCGTTGACCTTGAAGCTCTTGAAGATCTCCTCGATCATGGCCTGGCCGTAGGAGGTCGCCGTCGAGTTGATGAACTCTAGCAGGATGGCTTTGCTCTCCTTCTCCATGATACTGCCGTTGGCCCCGTCCATGGACTCTTGCAGCTCGCGCATCACTTCGACGGCCACGTGCACGCGCGGGGGTCCCAAGCCATGCTTCTTCCCGCGGGAGCGGACCTCCGTGGCGTACTTCTTGGCTGCCTGCAGGCCCGCTTGGAAGGCCCTGGCCTGCGCTGGGATGAGCCAGAAGTCGGACAGCACGTGCATCGCCTCCCTCAAGTCCTGCGTACTTCGCAGGGCTAGCTTCATCGTCACTTTCAGGCGGTCGTCGTAGCGGTCGTGGTCGGCGTTCTCCTCGCAAGTCGCTGCTTGCGCCGCGCTTGCCGGCCAGCTGCCAATCCGCCCTCGGTGCCAGCGCCGCCATGGCGAGTACGCTCTTTGACCGAGTGGGGGCCTTCGTGATGAGATCGAACGTGGCACTGAAAATCGAGTAGGTCTTGGGCCTCGTGCCGACAGAGGCCGCATTCCAATGAGGCTGGTCCCATTAGTTCGTGGGCCCATTTGCTGCGGTCAACAGAGCACGTGCCATGCCATTCTACAGCCCTGTGGCAATGATCGATCGCCGTCTTTCGATTGAGGAATACACTGAGACACCAGGTGCATTGATTGGTGGTAACAAGCACTGTGAGGAGCGTGCGAAGGTTGTGCACTCCTCTCTTGTGTGCCTGTAGTGCCTGTGCTGTCCTGAACCTCCTCCCGCATAATGTCTCCCTTCCCCCGTCGTCGACACACGGGTGATCGCGCCAAAAGGAGCGCGCAAGGGCCTCCTCCTGCTCCTCCACCGTCTCGTCCTCTCCCTCTGCTTTGCCTCCTCCCCGCTGCGCTGCACTACGCAGGATGCTCGTGTCGACGCATAGCCACTGCCGCCGCTCCTCGGTTCCTGGTGTAAGTGTGGCAAGATCCGACGTACGGTGCTCGTGCCAGGCGTGCAAATGTTCGCCCATCTCTGCTAGGAAATCTAGGTCGTGCCGAAACTGTTGAGCCATAGGTGTAGAGTACGGTCCCACCCATCCCCCTGGCAACATTCGTGTAACACCCTTCAACCGCTCCATCACACTGAGGCCAAATATAGCTGCAATCAGGTTGCCGTGGGTTTCTGGGTACGTAGCCCACTGCTGAAACCATTTCGGTCGCCGTGCCCGTAAAGCGTCTTCTGTCCTCTCGAGCCCCCATTCCCTGAACACGCGGGCTGTGCTGTAACATCGCACTGCGCCGTCCGCTCGTGCCCGCGACATCTTGCCTCGAGCGAGCGTGCGCAAGTATTTGCCGATCACCGCATCTAGGGTAGCAGTGTGGCACGGGCTAAGTACCGTTGCCGTTAAGCCGCTGAGGCCTGCTCCGAACACAAACGCAACGAACATCATTCGTTTAACTGCGAAGCTGTTCTTGGAGCTCCAGAAGGCGCCGCCTTGCCTCCAGGCGAGGCGGATCGCGTCGCACCGTTTCTTGATCTCCCCCGTGATGCCTTGATCGGACGGGATAGACGGTCCCAGCACCCTCATTTCCCTAAGAGTAATGCCCTTTAGCTCCTTTGAGCAGCGCAACGTGCGGGTGCAGCTGTAGCCCCCCTGACCTCGGAGACAGAGAAGGTGGTTGGTTTTGGTGGGGTTGAGCTTCCAGTTGCCCTTGGCCAATGTTGTCTCGAGCTCTTGCGCGGCCTGGTTCAGGTGGGCAGTGACGTGGGTCGCTGACGCCCCAGCTGGGAGGATGTGAGTCTTGGTGATATTGTCCATGAACGCGTTGAGGCTGAGGTCGTGCACCTGGTGGGTAATGGGGTGCTGGGTGCCGTGCAGTTTTTGCATAGGGTCTCTTCGCACGCCGTCGTTCCACTGTTGCACATATAAGTTGTAGCTGTCATTGAATTGCCTCGGTGCCAACGTGAAGCCCAGCTGGGCTCCCGAGAGGGTCTCCATTGTGACGGCTTCCGTGGGTGTTTCTATCGTCATAGCTGCCATGTCGATGGCCCTCACAGAGTGCACTCGGTCCCATTCATCAGCTTGTTTGAAGGCAACTGCATGCAGGCGGCGCTTATCCGTAGAGGCAAAAGCGCTAGATCAATCATAGTTAGTGTACGCAGAGCTGTATCCGAGTTGCTCAGCCTTCCATTTCGTCGTCATCCGCGCGGCAAGTGCGTTCTCCCGACATCTGTGCGGCAGCCCACCCTGCGCCCAAGCAGCATGCTGAAATGGTGTGCCACGTCTGTGTATGCCCGCGTGCCACGACATGCCCGTACTGCAGTACGGGTGCATGATGCGCTCCCCTAGTACCCCCTGTCGTCCGTTGCTCTTATCTGCTCCGAACGCCTTGCGCCTGTGCCACGCAAGGGGGGTGGTCTGGGTACTTCGACACATAATCAGCACAGCCATGAGTCTCCTCGCCGCCGCGTGGCTGTCTTGTCCCCACTGTAGAACCCCAAGTCGAGCTCTGGGCCCCCTTCCCACTGTGTAGTTCTTGACTACGCTGGCGGGTTCCGTCGGTGCACCTCCTCTCCTCCCCTAGCCTCATCCTGTCCATCCCAACCGCTCCAATAGTGCCCTCCCCTTCTGCAACCGACGCTCGATAGTGTGCTGCGTATCCTCCTCCTCCTCCCGCGTCGCTCGTGCCTGCGCTCCTGACACTGTCGGATCACCTCGGTTGATTCGAAGGTCTAGTAAGAGGAGCGTGACTTCCACTGGTAGGCCCCATGCAGGCCAGGCCCTTCCCTTTTTGGCCTTTCTGCAATAGCGTAGCATAGCGGCATGGTCTTCAGCAGCTCGGCAACGGAGGTCACT